AATGATGTTGTTCGGTCTCAAAATACTTCTTTGAAATTGGTCGTGATGTAGGTTTGTGTAGAAAAATAACACTAACATTGTCCTGACCCCCAAAGGATGGATTTGAAAGTGCTTTATGGGATTTGGTAGCTTATGATTTAAATCAACACATGCAATTGATGATTTCTTACATTATAACCATAAAATGTGAGAAAGACAAATAGGATAGGACAATAAACTACCAGCTATGATTGCTAAGGACACTGAGTCACTTGTAGCGGCTGAACATCACTAGGTACGAGGTAAGAGTGAAACTAAAAACTCAGAGTAATAGATAAATCATCCAGCTTTAGCAATTCCAAGTAGTAGTACACATGCAAACTTCATTTCACAGGGATGTGAGGGGGGCACAAAACACAAAAATTGAGAACTGCTGCTTTAGGATGAGCAAGGTACGACATAAGTAGACCACACCCTGTACTTGGAGCTGCCGTACTACTGACGAGTGTCTTGTGTCGCAATGCTTCACAGAATTTATGTCATTATTTCTGTAGAGAAGTTGGTCCATCCGTTCTACCACGGTACTGTGTAACTGTCAAACTCACTGTTCCCAGCACTGAGCTGTTCAGTCTCATACAAATCCAGTTCCTTTGTAATCATTGACAGATTTGGAGATAGTAATTCATTCTTTTATGTCATTAACCTTGGATTGTTGTTATTGTTTTATGTCATGCACAGCATGCAGAGCCTATTCTCATTTCCAGCTCATTTTAAAAACGTTATTCGCTAAAGATCACGCATTTCCCAGTTTTTATTTTCTTGCAGTTGCATCAGTTTGAATTTAGAAAGATTAAAGAAAATTGCACCAAACTTATTTATCACTAAAATGCTTTTATCCCTCATTTATACCTATGCAGCAACCTCAAATCACACACCTGACTCACTCAATTTGTCTTATTCTATGTCTGTTTTCTCTCACAGCTGCAATCTAAACAGTTTTCCTTCTCTATGTCTATCCCTCCATTACTCATTACCTCCCTGTTTCTCTACAGGGTTCGGTCTGTAATGTTGACAGTCCTGATGCATATTTTCCTGGTGCCCCATGGTGAGCCTAACATCCAACACAGCAGTTGTGACCTCTTAGTCTGTAGGATGTCTTCTTCCACCGTGTACTGGTTCTCTTTTTCTAGAAAAAAGTCATTCATGGCCTGGAATTTACAGATAAGCTTCAAAAATTGTTATTTGAGGGATCTTACTGTTTTAATATTATATTCAACCTCACATATTATAGTATTTTTTTGTCAGGGGGTGCTAACTTAAATGTATGATGCACTATGTTTGGACTATTCCACATCGGTGTGAGGAGTTTAATTTGCAAAAGGAATTTTATGAGGTTTTTGGTCGTAGAAAAGTTAAATTTCGGACACTGTTAGAAACTGACAAGGTTAACAGATTCAATTCTGTGTAATAATGAGTGCATGTGTAAAGATGGAGATGGTAGTTATTAAATCCTGAAATCCATATTGCTTTTTTTCAATTACTGGCAGTAGTTTAAGTTTAATTTAGGACTGACATTTCTATTTAAGTAGCAACCAGTACCCAGTAGCACTGGTCGCAAAGTGTAAGTCTACATAATCTTCAGATACACAGCCTCATACCAGTGTTGACACTTGACTCCTTGAGATTTATTGTGTTACAGTCGGCAGATTTCCCAGGTGCAGCTCATGTGGTCAGAACTGACAAAATGAAAAACACTGTACTCCTGTCTGACTACCAGTTGTCAAACCTATGTGATGACTTTCACCTGGGCTAAATCAATAGCACTTCAGGTGTGCACTGCAAGGTCTTTGTGCTTCTCTCGTGGTCTTTTTCAGTTTTGGATAAGAACACATACAGACATTAAAGCCATTGGCTTTTGCCAACTTAAAAATACAAAATGATCTGCAAGATGTTTTGGAAATAGCCGTTGATATTGCAAAACCTTTTGGGGAACAGAAACCCAATGTTCCAAATGCCCTTCACCTAAACCTGACCTTATGTTCTTCTCACTAATCAAGAATGAGTTATGTTTCATTAATGATCAAATCTTGAGGAATTTGCTTATAATGGGAACATACAGCATATTATCAAATTCGGGAGAAGCTTGGGCAAAAAAATGACATTTAATTTAACTTACAAGACATTTGTACACATAGATTTTGGAGAAAAAAAAGAAAAAACATAACCAGTCTTTTGTCATTGTGTCTTTTTGTCATTATCAGTTTATTGCTTAATAATAAGTGAAATATGTACATTGCTATTTTATATTATACTCTTATACTGTGTTTATTTGTAAGAAGAAGAAACATTTATGCCTTATACATGAATATAAAGTAGTAACAAGTTGTTTTATTGACAAATTTACATCATCTTTAGTATAGATTAAAAAGACTTCAAGATATTCAACATACTGTAATGTTACTTGTCTCAGCCAGAAAAATAAAACACAGAACTTAAAATATGTCAAACCTGAGTTAACTTTTGCTGTCTCTCTCCGAGCAGGTGCTCAGGGTTTGGAGCCCGACGAGGGAGCCTCCCTCCGTTCAGGTCCCTTGGAGCTCCCGTGGCAGGATGAGCTGTGCTGTGACTCACCTTCAACCCACCTCACTGTGGAGGGAGGAGACGTGCACGCACAGGAGACAAACCGCCCTGAATCAAACCTCCCACACTATTCTCGCTGCAACTTCAGGAGCTTGACAAACGAATCACGTCCTCATGAGCTCTCAAGCGGTAACTGTTTATCTGGTATCTAAAATGTTTCTTAAGAAAAAAGTTATCAATTTAAGGCTTGCCAAGTTTCTTCTGTTCTGGTTGATAAGGCCTGACTGAGTTTGTGCATAGGAATGATGTATTTCACACCAAGTCTGTATTTTCACAGACTGAAATCAACCATGAGCCCATTAATATCAAACTGTGCTCGCCAGGTTTTTGCAATTATTATTATTATCAAACCGATTTAACTTTCTTTTTAATATTATGTTGTCAGGCTCCATGGGGTTGTCAATCATAGACATGGTCCCGTGTATGGGATACAGCTGTCAGGATGAATTCAGTAGGAATTGTATTTCTACTGCACTTACTATTTCAATTCAATTCAAGGAACCCCTCAAAGTACTTTAAGAGAATATTCAAAAACAATATTTAAAAGTAACCAAACAGGCACATTGTAGCATTCAGCTTCATTATTCATTTAACCCTACTGGTAGACAAGGACGTTGATATTCGACAATCCTGCAGTTGTTCTTGTTTAGTTTTTTTATGGCCTATAACAACATTTAAAATAATCTCAATTGCTACAATATCTGCACATGGCAACTACAGCAGGGATAACAGTGTTTTGCAAGTTCACGCTAAACAAGATCTAGCTCAAAGTTCAGTTCACACAAATTAAAATGAACTAGTTCTTCATTCATAGTTCACAGTTTTCAATTTTGATGCTCTTTTAGCGTGTTCATGCACAACACTGATGGTTAAGATTAAGGAAAGATTGTGGTCATGGCGAAGAAGCTATGGTGACGTAGGTAAAACTCTTGGTTACAGTTTTGGTTAAAGATTGTGGTTACGGTTAATAAAATAGTGAATGTTATTTGCAGGTGGTCTCTTGCAACAGGCCCATCCACCCTCTTGTGGATCTATCCTATCGTCCAATATCAATTTTATTATAAGGATACTGGGGTGACTTTACACACTGGTGGTTTTTACAATTAAAAGCTATACCAGTGG